TGAGTCATAAGTAGGGGTGGGCATTTGGGTCGGGTTATTCGGGTCTTGACCCGATCCGGTCGGGTTTTACTCGGTCGGGTCGGGTAAATTTTTAATTAACCGGGTTTTACCGGTTTCGGGTACCCGGTGCTCACAAATCGGGTCGGGTCCGGGTATTGGGAATTCTACCCGGATACCCGATTGGGTACTCGGCTAAAAAAAAAATCTGAAAAATTAGGCCCACTTTGTAACCTACAGTTGCACCTAAGCCCACTGCCCACTAGCCCATTCCAAGCCCATTTTTATTTTTGTAAAAAATCTTATATTTATAATTTTATAAGAAAAAAAAGTAAAATAGAAAAAAAAAACACACAAAACACATAAAAAAGTATGCATTGATTATGTTTTCAACTTCTGTTGTCTATTTTTGATTTGTTGTGGTTCTTTGGAGTGTGAAATTGTATGGGAATTGTGAAGTGTAGTCTCATATGTAGATTTGGATGTATTAAATAATTTATTAAAAAAAAAAAAAAAAAAAAAAAAAACCAGAATAGCAAGGCTCGAACCCGACCCGAAATAACCGGGTACCCGGTTGCTTAGTACCAGGTTATTTCGGGTCGGGTTCGGATAATATTTTTTTTGCAAAAAACTCGAATAACCCGACCCGACCCGACCCGAATGCCCACCCCTAGTCATAAGTCATGCGCATGCAAATTCTTTTCTCTTGAATAGTACAACTAAATGTAGGTTAATTTATTTGGGTCCATTTGATATAAACCCCTAGAATGGAAAATATATAAGGTAGGTCCACTTCTAAAATTCTTCCTTTGAGATACCCTCTAGAGAGGCCAAATACTATTGTGCCCTTAAGTGCAATTTTCGCCCAACTGCATTCAGTGTTTTTTCCCCTGCATTCAGCATAACGTCCAACTGCATGTAGCATTTTGGGCCTGCATTTATCATTTTTATAGATTTTTTAATAAAAAATATAAATGTTTATTTTATTATTATTTTTTATATATATCCTATTTTGTATTTATTTATTTATTTATTTATTTATTTATTTTTAAATTTTTTTAAATTTTAATTTTTAATTTTGTTTTCTAATTTTTAATTTTTTTAATTTTTTTTTAATCAATTAATTATTATTTATTTTTTGATAAATTATATTGTAATGAAATTGACTACACATGAATATAGTATACCACAGTCATGTATAGTTATATGTAATCATGTACTGTCGTTTTACCCCAAAATTAGTCTACACCAACAATAAAATTCACAAATTTTAATCTTGATATTATAAATCAACTTACCCAAAAAACAAAAAAAAAAAAAAAACAATCACATGCATATAATCATCAAATCATGAACACACATTACTATACATTAAATATACATTAAAAAAACACATAACATACTTATAACTATATGTTACTACACGTGACTGTAGTTATATACAATTATTTATAGTTATATAAGTGGCATAAGTAAGGAGTACTATAGCATGAATGCAACTTGACATGGCACTTCTTTGCATCTTATTCGTTGCATCTCATAATGTTATACAAAGCAAAACATGTGACAAAAAAATACAAGTTAAAGAAAACGAAGAACAAAATGGAACAAGCTAATTACATTACATGAAAAAATACAAAAAAACAATGCAAGACATTTTTTTGATAAATTTACTCTGGTGAACTATAGTCACAAGTAGTTATGTGCATTATTGTTACTGCATATGACAAGATATGACTTATATGTAGTCAACTATGGTCACATGTAGTTACGTTCATTCTTGTTACTACATATGACTACATATGATTACACGTACCTGACCACGTGTGACTATATATGTATATAAATAAAATTCATCTACACCACCAAAAAGTTCACAATTGAATGATGAATAGAACAATGTAGTTGAAAAAAATAATATATTTACTTACTGTAGTGGTGAAATTCTATCATAGAAAATCATTTGATTTCTCGTATGTTCTTGAGACTGAATTAATGAGATGACAAATAAAATCAGATAATAAAAAGTGAGAATCAATGGGGTATGCATACATATAATTTAGAATTGTAGATATGTATATGTAGAGTAGAATTTTAATTAAAAAAAACCAAAAAAGAAAAAAGAAAGCAAAATCTTATATATAACTATAAATAACAATTTTTATTACAAATATCAATTGAAAAAACACAGTCATGCGCATATGTTACTGTATATTACTATATGTTACTACATGTAACCATAGTTATGTATAGTAATGTGCAGTAGTATAACCATCCTCTATTTATCTTGGTGTCCATCTCTATGTAATTCCACAGGGCCAATCATCGGCACACCACACAAATTCACCAAGCAAAACAATTCATCTAGCAATAATTCATTTTATTACAGGAAAAAAAATACCTAAACAATTGGGTAAATCATCCATTCTAATTTTTTCACATAGTTTGAATTTAATACAAGTGCCCAACATCGATCCATGAAACAAACAAAAATTACAACAAATTACCTCATATTTTTCAAGGAACGAGTTCCAATCTTACCAAGCCAGAAACTCGTGCGGCGGAACACGAGTTATGTTCGTCGGTTGCGGCCGGAATACGGATCCTATTCTCCAGCAATACAAATCATGACTGAAATACAAATCCTGTGCAGCGTCGGCAGACGACGACCGGGGGAGCAACGTCGGCGGGTGGCGGCTGTAGAGGGAGCAGCAGTTGCGGGCGGCGGCGGCGGAGGGAGCAGCGGCTCCGTTCTCGCCGGAAGCAGCGGCTGCGGGCGGCGACGCGGGAGCAGCAACGGTGGGCGGCACAAGTTGGGGGAGAAGCAGAGGTGGGTCGCATGGTTTTGGATAGAGAGAGAGTTAGAAAGAGAAGAAGAGAAATATAGGGGAGAAATGTCACGTGGTTAGAGAGAGAGAGTTAGACAGAGAAGAAGAGAAAGTGGTTGGAAAGATAGAACGGCTGAATGAGTGGGAGAGAAAAAACTAAGGTTTGTATTGAAATTAAAAAGGTAAAACAGGTAATTCAAGTTGTTCAGGGGGTCTCACTAATTAAGATTAGAATTTGAGTTTTTGACTAGGGAAGAAAATTCCACAGGACTTATCCATATATATTTTCAAAACTAGGGGGTTATCCCACATTTCCCCAATTTTTTTTATAGATATTTAGTGGCATTGAACTCAAATTGTTTTAGGACTCCTATGGTTATCTAAATCAAATAAGTTTGGATTAAATGAACAAGGATTAAATTCCTCCTAAATTATTAATTAATTATTGGGGTCATTACAAATAAGCCCATCAATAGGTACTTATTAATAAAGAGATCCAGACAAAAAACTCCTTCACCAATAAGTCCACACATGGTCCTGATTTTTGTAAAGGACTAAAATAACCCCTCATACTTTAATATGCTCCAATTTCATCTTTAACTTTATTTAACCTCAATTTGACCCCAAATTTCACAAATTATTCAATTTTGACCAAAAACTTTTTTTTTCAAAAAAAAAATTTCAAAAACTTTTTTTTCCCGCCAGATTCCGGCGTTGACTATTCAATTTTTTTTTTCTTCCGAATTTTTTCGCCGGTTTCCGGCGTTGACTTTTTCGATTTTTTTTTCTTCTTTTCTTTCTTTCTGTAACTTTTTTTTCGTTTAAACAGCAATATTGCTGTGATTGACAATAATATTAACTATATTACTGTTAAACACAGTAAAATTAACTAAACTACAGTTTAACACAGTAATATTGCTATATTAATCTCTAGCATAGTAATATTAACACAATAAAACTCATAATTATTGTGTAATAGAGTAATATTACTATGTTGACCGTTCAACAAATGTAAACATAATAAAAAACCAAAAGAATTAATATTACTGTGAGTGACAGTAATATTACTATAACAACAGTAATATTACAGTCAACCACAGTAATATTATTACGTTACTCCGTGAATAACTCAAACAAACAAAAAATCCAAACAAAATAATAATATTAATGTGGTTGACAACAATATTACTATAACAACAGTAATATTACCGTCAACCACAGTAATATTATTATGTTTACAGTAATATTACAAAAATAGACAGTAATATTATTACGTTACTCCGTGAATAACTCAAACAAAACAAAAAACCCAAAAAAAATAATAATATTGATGTTGTTGACAGTAATATTATTGTGTTTACAGTTATTTTACTGTCAACAACAGTAATATAATTACGTTGACTTTTCAACAAATCAAACAAAATAAAAAAACAACAAAAAATAAATAATAATAATATTACATTAATTTACTGTCAACGGCAGCACAATTACATAAATGTATTGTCAACAGCAGTACAATTACATTAATTAACTGTCATTACAGTATAATTACGTTAATTTACTGTCAGTGACAGTACAGTTACGGTCAACGTTTAGCGGCGGACATAAAAAAAAAATTAAAAAACACTAAAAAAAAGTCAACGCTGGAGACCGCCGGTCAACGTCGGAAACGGGCGAAAAAATCCGGAAGAAGAGAAAAACAAATTGAAAAGTCAACCCAAAATCCGACGGCAATTTTTTTTTTTTTAAAATTGGGTCAAAATTTAATAACTTGTGAAATTTGGGGTCAAATTGAGATTAAATAAAGTTATGGATGAAATTGGAGCATATTAAAGTATGCTCCAAAAAGAAGTCAAAATTGAATTTTTGTGGTCAAAATTGGATTTTTGTGGACAAAATTGATTAAATTGGGGTTACAATTAAGAATTGTGTATAAATGGTTGAGGGTAATATTGGCATATACATAATGTTTCATTTATTTATAATAAATATTAAAGGGATGGGCTTATAGATATAACTCCTTAACCTAGAATAATAAAAATGCTTGGTTGGGGACTTATGCACAAAAACCCCTTAATTATTTAGTAGGAATTTAATCAAATTTCATTTAATCTAAACTTATCTGATTTAGATAACCATACGGATGTTTTTTTTTTGAGAAAAAAAGACATATTATTAGACGACATCCGTCAAATTCATAGGAAGGTTGAAGCCCTCCAAATAGTCGATACAAGGAATTTTAGCAATAGAATGAGCTAAAGAGTTGCCTGCACGCTTGATGAACATAAAATTACACGAGTTAAGGGTACTCGCAATAAAAAAACATTCCTCAACTAGTGATCCAAACGATGAAAATTCAGCTTCTCCATTACGAAGGGCGTTGATTACTTGGATACAATCTCCTTCCAGAATGACGTTCTCCCATCCCTTTTCCTTTGCCCAAACAATAGCCCTTAATGCAGCGAGAGCTTCTCCTTCCACTGGGCGGAGGTTTCCGTCTAGCCTTGTCACTTTCCATCCCATGCATGTACCCTCGTTGTTTCTTGCCACAACAGATATAGTTAGAATTTTTTCACCTATTGGAAGTGCTGAATCGAAGTTTAATTTGATCACATCTAGTGGAGGGGGGATCCACTCGCTTGGGTGCAACTGTGTAAGGTTGGCATTGGGTCGGATTTGGGCTGCCTTAAACGTTGCCAAATAATTGCAACTCCAAGTCACCAACTCGCACGATAGCAAGTACTTCTCGCCTTTCATATCTAGGTTCCTATTATCCCAAGCTTTCCATGCAACCACCAATGCTAGAATGAAAGTTTCCTTGTCAAGCAGATGCTGCGAACTTTCCACCCACTGCCGAGTCGAAGAGAAAGTGAGGTCATGGGCTAGGTCGAACAGGTGACTTCTCCAAACTTCCGCCATTCCTCTGCAATGAAGAAGCACATGTAATATCGTCTCGTCGCCGCTATTACAAGATGTACAGAGAGGAGAGGGGCAGATCTTCCTCCGAAATAATTCGGCGTTGGTCGGGAGAAAATTTCTTTTGAACCGCCATAAGAAAACACAAATTTTTGGGGGAATGGGAATCTTCCAGATTTCTTTCCAGTTCTGAATGCTCACTCCACTACTTGAACCATTATCAATTACACGACGACGATCCAGAGGTGAAGGGCATGAATTGATATGATGGTAACATGATCTGACCGTGAAGTTCCCGTGGCTAGAAAAGTGCCAAATCCATCTATCTCTCACGGAGCTTCCTCCCACCGGGATAGCCAGAATACGATCAACATCAACCGGCTAAAACGTAGTTTGAATCAGGTTCACATTCCATGATTGTGAGTCAGCAGCCATAAGATCCGAAACCCGGTTAGGGAAAGCCGAGTCGGGGGGGCGTCTAGTAATTACCTTGAAACTGCCCCCATCGCTTAGCCATGGGTCCGCCCAAATAGAAGTTTCGATTCAATAACCAACTCGACGTCGAATACCGAGATTAATATAAGGGATCACACTCCAAATGCTACGCCAAGTGGCAGACGGTCGTGACCCCAATTGAGCCGACAAAAGACGTCCTTGAGGATAATATCTTGCCGAAAGAATTTGTCCCAGCAGGTGGGATGGATTAATGAGTAAGCGCCACGCCTGTTTAACGAGAAGAGCAATATTGAAACTACGAAGATTGCGAAAACCGAGGCCCCCTTTCTCCTTGGACTTGCACAACTCCTGCCACGATGTCCATGCTATTCCCCGGCTAGTCCCGTTACCCCACCAAAACCGTCGAATAGCTGCCTCAATTTCCAGAAGTAATCCTTTCGGCAACATGAAACAACTCATAATATATGAGGGGATCGCCTGCAGAACCGATTTGATGAGAACCTCTTTCCCTGCTTTCGAGAGTTGTTTTCCCCCCCACCCCTTGATTCTGGACCATACACGGTCTCGCAGAAAAGAGAAGACTTCCTTTTTAGTTTTTCCCATGGAGGCCGGCATTCCGAGATATTTGTCGTGCCGCTCCACAACCTGAAATCCCAGGATGTGATATATAGAGGTTCGTAAGCTTGGCGGTGTGGACGGGCTAAAGACCATTGTAGACTTTTCATAGTTGATTTCCTGCCCGGATACCTGTGCATATTTGGACAAAATCCCCTTCAAATAAGCTGCATAAGTTACAGTAGCTTCTCCAAAGACGAGGGTATCATCTGCGAAACACAAGTTGGAGATGATTGGCGCAGTCGGGGCCACTTTAACGCCACTAAAGTCACCGCGCTCCGTAGCTTTGGAAATCATACCAATCAAGACTTCTGCACAACATATAAACAGGTACAGTGAAAGCGGATCACCCTGTCGAAGGCCTCGCGAAGGGAGCATGGATCCGAACTGAGAACCATTAAATAGAAAGGAAAATGAGACTGTAGAAACACACAACATAATTAACTCAATAAAATCAGAGGGAATGCCAAGGCGGGACAGGGTCTTTCTCAAAAAGATCCATTCAATTCGATCGTATGCCTTGCTTATGTCAAGTTTGATAGCCATGTAATTTGTTTTTTTCTTGGAGTTGAGTTTAATAAAATGATTAACCTCAAAAGCTACAAGAACATTGTCGGTTATAAGTCTTTTGGGGACAAAAGCCGACTGGGTGGGTGAGATCAAATCATTAAGCACAAGTTTTAACCGATTAGCCAGGACTTTGGATCCAAATTTATAAATAACATTGCAAAGACTAATTGGTCTGTAATCAGTGATTTTTTCTGGTGTTTTTACTTTGGGGATCAAGACAATATAAGTAAAATTCATAGAAGGTGGAAGTTTGCGGTTGTTAAGGAAATCAAGAACACAAGATAATACACTAGACCCTATAATATGCCAAAATTTAGTAAAAAAGACGACAGGTAATCCATCTGGGCCAGTAGATTTAAGTGGAGCCATTTGGGAAATGGCTCGAGTTACCTCGTCCGAAGTGAATGGCAAAGACAGAAGTTGCCCTGCTGCCCCGCTGACTCTGGCCTCAATGTTCTCAAGCACCTCATCTATCTCATCCTCCCTAGGATTAGTGGACTTGAAGATTTGCTCGAAATAGTCTGTGATAATCTGCTCAATAATTACAAGATCTACAAAGCCTTTTATTTAATAAAATTAACATGTAATTTGAAGGATAAACTTGTCTTTTACTTGTTTAGTCACCCCCTATTAAATTAATCTTAATAATGAGGGGTGCTACTAATTTAATGAAGTAATAGTATTTAATGCGGACTTTGATTCTAACAACGGGTTTGAAAAAAGGCGAATCTTGCCAACCGGACGTGTTATTTAGTCAGTAAAACATATTTACAATTTTAAATTAAAATATAATATTTTTTACTAGTAGTCTGGGTTGAATCGGGGGGTTTGGGCGAGTTGAAGCCAAAAAAAACCCCGGCCTAATATAATGTTAGTGATGACAAGATTCTTGATAAACATATAGTTCCTTCCTAGAACTATGAATGAACGCCCATTTCTATAGATGCAAGAAATTGGCTTAGTGCTATAAGAATCCAAAGTGGAAATGATTAGACAGAGAAAAGTGAAAACCTTTTAAAAGGTTAGGCTTAAAGTAAGAAGGTTCTGTCGGAAAGAAATGGATCGACTACGAGGAAACTTTCTAGCTAGTAGCCACACTCTAGTCTATTTCAAATTCCTAAAATCTGTCAGTGCCATGTTTTAATTTGGTAGATGGATGTCAAGATTTCGTATCTCTTGACGAGTGCATTTCACGATGCAAATTAAATGGATTTTATCTTAGTGCCATATGCATTGCTATGTGATATGCCTAATTGGGCCAACCCAATGGGCCTACAATTTCTTTACCTACTGGGCTACGAGCCCAATATCGAAGACTAATATCACCGAGGCCCAAACACCTTCAAGTAAGGTTTGGGCCCAACAAAGCAAACCCAACCCAATAAACGACATATAAATAGAGGTTTTACTCATTTTATTAAGGTACGTCCTATTATCTGAGCAATACTACTAATGGTATTCTCTGGACTATTTCTATGATCAGCACGTCTGACTTGAGCGTCGGAGGGGTTTCCGCCGGATCAACCCCCGGCTTAGCTTATGTGTTCTATGATCGCAGGTACCTCAGGATCATCAAGTTGTCAAGCTACTGATCTGCTTTGCTCTCCCAGTTCGTTTTCTACACCACCCTAGGTGAGCTAGTAATTAGCATCATCATTTTGGCGCCGTCTGTGGGAACGATGCAAACCAGATCACGTAGCCAACAAGATCCTCCTGAGGCCTCTGCTCGGAGAGAAAATGACACAGCTAACGACCTCCCACCTCGTGGAGGCTCTGGCTTGCCACCTCCTCCCCATCCCATGGATCCGCCTCGCGAGGTTCAGGTGATCCCCCCTCGGGGCCCACCACTCGCCGATCCACCACTCCCTGCTCCTCGAAAGGTTCAAATAGCCGAGGATGCGCTTCAACGCATGATAGCAGAAGCTTCAACTCGCGCTGCCACAGAGGCCGTGATCCAATATATCGCCACGATGGGAGCAAATGCTCCCAACGCGATACCAGCACCTGCTCCACATGTGGAGCCACCTATGGAACCACCGCCATCGACTCCCTGGGGGCTTACATCTGCCCCTAAAATATTTCGTTCGCCAAGGGTTATCGACTCCCTGGGGGTTCACAATGCCCCCAAAACATTTCATTCGCCATGGGTCATCGACTCTCTGGGGGTCTACTTCCGCCCCCCTCGAACGGTTCAAATAACCAAAGAGGATATTCGACATATGATCGACTAGGCCATTCAGATGTCCTACTTCAGCTACATCTGATGTCATACCTCAGGTACATCAGATGTCATACTTCAGCTACATCTGATGTCATACCTCGGGTACATCAGATGTCAACTACATCTGATGTCATACTTCGAGTACATCAGATGTCCTACTTCAACCACATCTGATGTCATACCTAAGGTACATCAGATGTCCTACTTCAGCTACATCTGCTGTCATACCTCAGGTACAACAGATGTCAACTACATCTGATGTCATACTTCGAGTACATCAGATGTCCTACTTCAACTACATCTGATGTCATACCTCAGGTACATCAGATGTCATACTTCAGCTACATCTGATGTCATACCTCAGGTACATCAGATGTCAACTACATCTGATGTCATACTTCGAGTACATCAGATGTCCTACTTCAACTACATCTGATGTCCTACCTCAGGTACATCACATGTCCTACTTCAACTACATCTGATGTCCTACCTCAGGTACATCAGATGTCCTACTTCAACCACATCTGATGTCATACCTAAGGTACATCAGATGTCCTACTTCAGCTACATCTGCTGTCATACCTCAGGTACATCAGATGTCAACTACATCTGATGTCATACTTCGAGTACATCAGATTGCCTACTTCAACTACATCTGATGTCCTACCTCAGGTACATCAGATGTCCTACTTCGACCACATCTGATGTCATACCTAAGGTACATCAGATGTCCTACTTCAGCTACATCTGCTGTCATACCTCAGGTACATCAGATGTCAACTACATCTGATGTCATACTTCGAGTACATCAGATGTCCTACTTCAACTACATCTGATGTCATACCTCAGGTACATCAGATGTCATACTTCAGCTACATCTGATGTCATACCTCAGGTACATCAGATGTCAACTACATCTGATGTCATACTTTGAGTACATCAGATGTCCTACTTCAACCACATCTGATGTCATACCTAAGGTACATCAGATGTCCTACTTCAGCTACATCTGCTGTCATACCTCAGGTACATCAGATGTCAACTACATCTGATGTCATACTTCGAGTACATCAGATGTCCTACTTCAACTACATCTGATGTCATACCTCAGGTACATCAGATGTCATACTTCAGCTACATCTGATGTCATACCTCAGGTACATCAGTTGTCAACTACATCTGATGTCATACTTCGAGTACATCAGATGTCCTACTTCAACTACATCTGATGTCCTACCTCAGGTACATCACATGTCCTACTTCAACTACATCTGATGTCCTACCTCAGGTAAATCAGATGTCCTACTTCAACCACATCTGATGTCATACCTAAGGTACATCAGATGTCCTACTTCAGCTACATCTGCTGTCATACCTCAGGTACATCGAATGTCAACTACATCTGATGTCATACTTCGAGTACATCAGATGGCCTACTTCAACTACATTTGATGTCCTACCTCAGGTACATCAGATGTCCTACTTCAGCTACATCTGCTGTCATACCTCAGGTACATCAGATGTCAACTACATCTGATATCATACTTCGAGTACATCAGATGTCCTACTTCAACTACATCTGATGTCATACCTCAGGTACATCAGATGTCATACTTCAGCTACATCTGATGTCATACCTCAGGTACATCAGATGTCAACTACATCTGATTTCCTACCTCAGGTAAATCAGATGTCCTACTTCAACCACATCTGATGTCATACCTAAGATACATCAGATGTCCTACTTCAGCTACATCTGCTGTCATACCTCAGGTACATCAGATGTCAACTACATCTTATGTCATACTTCGAGTACATCAGATGTCCTACTTCAACTACATCTGATGTCATACCTCAGGTACATCAGATGTCATACTTCAGCTACATCTGATGTCATACCTCAGGTACATCAGATGTCAACTACATCTGATGTCATACTTCGAGTACATCAGATGTCCTACTTCAACTACATCTGATGTCCTACCTCAGGTACATCACATGTCCTACTTCAACTACATCTGATGTCCTACCTCAGGTACATCAGATGTCCTACTTCAACTACATCTGATGTCATACTTCAAGTACGTCAGATGTCCTACTTCAACTACATCTGATATCATACTTCAAGTACATCAGATGTCCTACTTCAACTACATCGGATGTCCTACTTCAAGTACATGAGATGTCTTATAGCCACGAGAAAACTCTCGAGTCGCTACTACGTCGCAGCGGGACAACTCCCCCGACGCCTACACTTAGCCTCGAGACAGCTCTTGAGTCGTTACCACATCGCAGCGGGACAACTTCCCCGACAATAATATTTAGCCTCGAGACAACTCTCGAGTCGATATAACATTTGGGCGATACAACTCCCCAGTTACTACTTACCCGTGTGACAACTCTCGCGCTTCAACTAAATTGTGGTGAAACATGTCTCAAATTGCTCGGCCCTACCACCTCGCGACGAGACAACTCGTTCGAGGCTACCACGCGCAAACGCGACCTCCGACGCCCAGGCCTTGCGCTGCAATGCCGCGCACGCCCTTGCCGCCGCGCGCGCCCGACGGGCCTTGCGCCCCAACACCGCGCCGCGCGCCCCCTAGCCTTGCGCCTTTAGCGGGCGCTAGCGCCGTGCGCCCTCGCCGACGCGCGCTAGCGCCGCACGCCCTCGCCGACGCGTTCTAGCGCCGCGCGCCCTCGCCGAGCGCCTTCGCCGACGTGCGCTAGCGCCGCGCGCCTATCCCTCGCGCATCATCGCCCTGTGCTCCCACGCCATGCGTACCATCCCCGCATCACGTAACTCCTCCTGAGCTGGGGGGCTAACACACCCCAAGGGTTGGACATCCCATCCCAAAGGCTGGGTATCCCCTCACCTCTCTACATCAATTTCAGCGTATAATCGCGGAAGCTTCAACTTGTGCTACCACTGAAGCAGTGGCACCATACATCGTCATAGCAGGAGCCAACGCTCCTCCTCGTGAGGCACCACTGGGTCCTCAACATGATCAATTTCTACTTACTTCTCGAACGGTTCAGATAACCGAAGAAGACCTTCAGCGTATGATCACGGAAGATTCAACTCGTGCTGCCACTGAATCGGTGGCACCATATATCGCCAAGGTTGGGCATCTCACCCCAGTGGTTCGTGATCCCTTCATCCTAAATGGGGGGCTAGCCCATCCTAAAGTTGGGTATCTCATCTCAAGGGTGGTACATCCACTTACCTTTCAATCCCAAGGGGTTTCACATCCCATCAAGTGTTTCACGTCCCTACTTCAAAAAACAGAAAAAATGGTCTGACGCGCGCGCG